TGTGTGACACCTACATCACACACACACACGTGTGTGACACCTACATCACACACACACACGTGTGTGACACCTACATCACACACACACACACACGTGTGTGTGTGTGATGTAGGAGGAGTGGTGGCGCAGTGGTCAGCGCATTGCGCCACGAACCTGGCCACCCGAGTTCGATTCCCCGTCGCGGCCATTGAAACCGGTCCTGGGCCTTCCAGCGAATTGACTAAACCTCAAACGAGTACCTGGCGCGGTGCGTATGAACCATCGTATGAACCATCGTATGAACCATCGCATTAACAATCGGCACCGGGGAGACAAAGGCGGTCGGGCGCGGTGCTGGCCATCCACCCGCCCTCGTGTGCTGTGCCGACCTTCATTGGTGCTCGCTAACAGCACTTGCCCCGACAGTCTGTTGAAGGCTATACGGGTGATCTTTGTCTTTGTGTGACCATGTGTTATGTGAATCGGTATGTCCTGTTCACTCTTACATAATTAATCGATAACCATATATGAAGGATAAGTAATGGTAGGCAGATTATTATTTTATCATGAATTTTGACTCATTGAAAAAAAATCGATGTTGGTGGTGATTTTCATGTTTTGGGGATGATAATGTAATGTATTGATAATTAGCTTATTGATCCTGATGATAATGACGATATTTGCGATGATGATGATGATGATGTTTGTAATGATGATGTTTCGGTAAATGGCCCCTCTTCATAGCACAACATTAAAAGGGTAATTGCCCGAAACATCAAGTATTATGTTTTCCGTTGAAGGCCACACACACATGCACACACGCACACACAGTGGTGTTACAGACGAGTGTATATTGACGTGTTCGTATATTCACGTGTCTGTGTGATGAGTGTGTCTGTACGTGTCTGTGTGATAAGTATGTCTGTGTCTGTGTGATGAGTGTGTCTGTACGTGTCTGTGTGATGAGTATGTCTGTACGTGTCTGTGTGATGAGTATGTCTGTATGTGTCTGTGTGATGAGTATGTCTGTACGTGTCTGTGTGATGAGTGTGTCTGTACGTGTCTGTGTGATGAGTATGTCTGCACGTGTCTGTGTGATGAGTATGTCTGTACGTGTCTGTGTGATGAGTGTCTCTGTATGTGTCTGTGTGATGAGTGTGTCTGTAAGTGTCTGTGTGATGAGTGTGTCTGTAAGTGTCTGTGTGATGAGTGTGTCTGTGTCTGTGTGATGAGTGTGTCTGTACATGTCTGTGTGATGAGTATGTCTGTACGTGTCTGTGTGATAAGTGTGTCTGTACGTGTCTGTGTGATGAGTGTGTCTGTAAGTGTCTGTGTGATGAGTGTGTCTGTAAGTGTCTGTGTGATGAGTATGTCTGTGTCTGTGTGATGAGTGTGTCTGTACGTGTCTGTGTGATGAGTATGTCTGTACGTGTCTGTGTGATGAGTATGTCTGTATGTGTCTGTGTGATGAGTATGTCTGTACGTGTCTGTGTGATGAGTGTGTCTGTACGTGTCTGTGTGATGTCTGCACGTGTCTGTGTGATGAGTATGTCTGTACGTGTCTGTGTGATGAGTGTCTCTGTATGTGTCTGTGTGATGAGTGTGTCTGTACGTGTCTGTGTGGTGAGTATGTCTGTGTCTGTGTGATGACTATGTCTGTACGTGTCTGTGTGTTGAGTATGTCTGTATGTGTCTGTGTGATGAGTGTGCCTGTAAGTGTCTGTTTGATGAGTATGTCTGTATCTGTGTTATGAGTATGTCTGTGTGTGTCTGTGTGATGAGTATGTCTGTGTATGTGTGATGAGTGTGTCTGTACGTGTCTGTGCGATGAGTATGTCTGTACGTGTCTGTGTGGTGAGTATGTCTGTGTGATGACTATGTCTGTACGTGTCTGTGTGATGAGTGTCTGTACGTGTCTGTGTGGTGAGTATGTCTGTGTCTGTGTGATGACTATGTCTGTACGTGTCTGTGTGATGAGTATGTCTGTATGTGTCTGTGTAATGAGTGTGTCTGTGTGATGAGTATGTCTGTATGTGTCTGTGTGATGAGTGTGTCTGTATGTGTCTGTGTGATGAGTATGTCTGTACGTGTATGTGTGATGAGTATGTCTGTACGTGTCTGTGTGATGAGTATGTCTGTATGTGTCTGTGTGATGAGTATGTCTGTACGTGTCTGTGTGATGAGTATGTCTGTGTGTGTCTGTGTGATGAGTGTGTCTGTGTGTGTCTGTGTGATGAGTATGTCTGTACGTGTCTGTGTGGTGTGTCTGTACGTGTCTGTGTGATGAGTATGTCTGTGTCTGTGTGATGAGTATGTCTGGACCTGTCTGTGTGATGAGTATGTCTGTACGTGTCTGTGTGATGAGTATGTCTGTACGTGTCTGTGTGATGAGTGTATCTGTACGTGTCTGTTTGATGAGTGTGTCTGTACGTGTCTGTGTGATGAGTGTGCCTGTACGTGTCTGTGTGATGAGTGTGTCTGTACGTGTCTGTGTGATGAGTATGTCTGTACGTGTCTGTGTGGTGAGTATATCTGTGTCTGTGTGATGAGTATGTCTGTACGTGTCTGTGTGATGAGTATGTCTGTACGTGTCTGTGTGGTGAGTGTGCCTGTACGTGTCTGTGTGATGAGTGTGTCTGTACGTGTCTGTGTGATGAGTATGTCTGTGTGTGTCTGTGTGATGAGTGTGTCTGTGTGTGTCTGTGTGATGAGTATGTCTGTACGTGTCTGTGTGGTGAGTGTGTCTGTACGTGTCTGTGTGATGAGTATGTCTGTACGTGTCTGTGTGGTGAGTGTGTCTGTACGTGTCTGTGTGATGAGTATGTCTGTGTCTGTGTGATGAGTATGTCTGGACGTGTCTGTGTGATGAGTATGTCTGTACGTGTCTGTGTGATGAGTATGTCTGTACGTGTCTGTGTGATGAGTGTATCTGTACGTGTCTGTTTGATGAGTGTGTCTGTACGTGTCTGTGTGATGAGTGTGCCTGTACGTGTCTGTGTGATGAGTGTGTCTGTACGTGTTTGTGTGATGAGTATGTCTGTACGTGTCTGTGTGGTGAGTATATCTGTGTCTGTGTGATGAGTATGTCTGTACGTGTCTGTGTGATGAGTATGTCTGTACGTGTCTGTGTGGTGAGTGTGCCTGTACGTGTCTGTGTGATGAGTGTGTCTGTACGTGTCTGTGTGATGAGTATGTCTGTACGTGTCTGTGTGATCAGTATGTCTGTACGTGTCTGTGTGATGAGTATGTCTGTACGTGTCTGTTTGATGAGTGTGCCTGTACGTGTCTGTGTGACGAGTGTGTCTGTGTGTGTCTGTGTGATGAGTGTGCCTGTACGTGTCTGCGTGATGAGTATGTCTGTACGTGTCTGTGTGATGAGTATGTCTGTACGTGTCTGTGTGGTATGTCTGTACGTGTCTGTGTGATGAGTATGTCTGTGTCTGTGTGATGAGTGTCTGTACGTGTCTGTGTGGTGAGTGTGCCTGTACGTGTCTGTGTGATGAGTGTGTCTGTGTGTGTCTGTGTGATGAATGTGCCTGTACGTGTCTGTGTGATCAGTATGTCTGTACGTGTCTGTGTGATGAGTATGTCTGTACGTGTCTGTGTGATGAGTATGTCTGTATGTGTCTGTATGATGAGTATGTCTGTGTGTGTCTGTGTGATGAGTATGTCTGTACGTGTCTGTGTGATGAGTATGTCTGTATGTGTCTGTGTGATGAGTATGTCTGTGTGTGTCTGTGTGATGAGTGTGTCTGTACGTGTCTGTGTGATGAGTATGTCTTTACGTGTCTGTGTGATAAGTATGTCTGTGTCTGTGTGGTGAGTGTGCCTGTACGTGTCTGTGTGATGAGTGTGCCTGTACGTGTCTGTGTGGTGAGTATTCATGTAGTCCAGTCGTGTGGAGGAGGCAGCGAGGGGTGGTGGATCACAAAAGCCATGGACGTCGAGGTGCCAACACCCTCGCAGGCCCAGATGGCGGTACAGAAAGTGTGGACTAATCTCCATCTGTTCCGTCTGTGTGCGATAGAATATTTGTCCGTCGCACGCGTGGGCTTTCTCCAGTTGCTGCCGCCCACACGCACAAACACTGATTATGAGTTGGCCGTTAACATCTTTATATACAGAGGACCGCAGAGCTTGGGGGCAATTGTTGGTGTCGCGGGCTCCTCACCACCGCGTGACTGCTGCTGCTGCCAACCCGCTCCTGGCCCGTGGTTCCTCCTTCGGGCGCCTGTGAGTCGCCCCTCTGTCTCCCTCTGCGTGACAGCCTCACGGAGCTGCTGCCGCTGCTGCTGCTGCTGCCGCTGCGTGCTCTCGAATCTCTCCGACGGCGGACGAATCCTGCCCGGCGCCGGCGGCGGCGGTGGCGACAAGTCGCTGTGTGATTCCAGTAAATATGCCAACGTTGGGGCAACGTTGGAACATGGATGGAACCGTTGGCACAACATTTGGCCAACATTGGCACGTGTTTGGGAAGTGTTGGCCCAACGTCGGCTTAACGTTTGGTTGTGGCTGTAACCGTTAACCCAATGTCGGCACGTGGTTGGAACTGATGGCCCAACGTTGGCACGTGGTTGGAACCATTGGACGAACTGTTGCCCGAACATTGGCGCGTGGTTAGAAATGTTGGCTGGAACAGTTGACCCAACGTTTGTCTGTGGTTGGAACCGCTGGCCCGACGTTGGCTCAACTTTGGCCTGTGGTTGGAACGTTGGCTCAACGTTGGCCAACGGTGGTACATGTGTTTGGAATACCTAGCCCGACATTGGCTCAACGTTGGCACGTGGTTAGAAAACATTTGGCCAACGTCAACCTAGCGTTGGCTTGTGGCTGCAACAGTTAACCAAACGTTGGCCTGTGCTTGGAACGGCCGGCTCAACGTTGGTTCAACGTTGGCCTGCGGTTGGAACGGTTGGTCCAACGTTGGCTCAACGTTGGCCCGACGTCGGTGCGAGTGTGTGTGAGTGTTTGGGACGGCGCCTGCAGGGGGCGCGCCAACTCCCCCGCTGGGTCGCGTCACCGGACGCGGCTCTCGACCTGGAAGCGCTTCCACGTGGTGGTGATGATGATGCGCTCACCACAACCACCACCACCCCCCCGACAGGCTCACAGCGACTCGAGCTGCTGATGCTGATGGTGGTCGTGGTGGTGACGGCGGTGCCGGTCACGGTGATGTGAGGAATGGGACGCCACGTCTGAGGAGGAAGAGCGGCCTTTACCAAGTGAAATGTGCGTTAGTTTTGTGTGCGCGCGTGTAGGTCGGCTCGGCCTCGAATGAGTACTTGGTGCGGTGTGTAAAACATCGCCACTGGGGAGACAAAGGCGGTCGGGCGTGGTGCTGGCCACCCCCCCCCCCCCCCCCCTTCGTATACCGGGCCGGACTTCACAGGTGCTACTCGCTAACGGAACTTGCCACAAAAGTCTGTCGAGGCTATACGGGAGAGCTTTGTATGTGTGGGTAGGAGCGGTGGCGCCGTGGTTAGCGCGCCGCACTTCTAATCCGACCACCCGAGTTCGATTCCCACTCGCGGCCGACACTGGTGACCTCGTTCTCAACTGGCCCTCCCCTAGGTCGACTCGGCTTTAAACCCTCACCTCGCGCCGTACGTAGCCAGCCGTGCTGAGCGGAGGTGCGCGTTAACGACGACACACTAAACGCAAACATTAACGCTAGGGAGACAAAGGCGGCCGGGCGTTGTTCTGTTCGTGCGCCGAGCTACTTGCCCGCAGGCTACACGGGGGATCTTTGTCTTTGTGCGCGGTGCAGCAGTCCCAGCAGCAGCAGCCCCGAGATGTACACGCTGCTGTCGGGCTTGTGGAAGTACATGTTCAAGAAGGACGAGTACTGCGTGCTCATCCTGGGCCTGGACAATGCGGGCAAGACGGTGAGTCCCGTCAGGAACAACCCTGCGTGGCTGGGGGAGCGGTGGCGCAGCGGTTAGCGGCGAACCCAGCAGCCACCCCAGTTCGATTGCCGCTCGCGGCCAACACCGTCCCTGGGCCTCCCCTAGGTCGACTCGGCCTCAACTGAGTACCCGGTGCGGCGGCGTGGTAAACATCGCCACACGGGAGCCACCGGCGGCCACCCATCGACTGCCTCGTGAGCCGTGCCGGTAGCCTTCGTAGTTGCCGCTACTCGCTAACAGCACTTGCCCCAACAGTCTGTTCAGGCCGTATGGGGTATCTCTGTCTTAAAATAAAAAAAAACATATATAATGGGCGACGTTTCGGGCAATGGTCCTTGGGCCACAACACGTAATGTCACGTGCGGTTGTGACAGTGGGCCGGTTCCCAGTGGATTGTGACTAATGCCCGACAGCTTATCCCCTCGCTTTATGCGGTAGATGCGTTCTCAAAAAAAGGCTCCAGGAGGAGCGAGGGGTGGTGGTGGTGGTGAGGGGGGGGGGTAGGGAGAGGTGAGAAGGGAGCTGCGTGGAGGAGGAGCGGCGTCTGTCTTCACAGTGGGCGGGGAGAGGGGTTCTGAGTGGGGGTGGTCACACGGGAGTCACGTGGTTCACGGGAGGCTTGAGCGGGTGTGGATAGAGGGGGTCTCTGTGTTTGTTGGCAGACGTTCCTGGAGCAGACCAAGACTCGATTCAGCAAGAACTACAAAGCAATGAACCTGTCCAAGATCACCACCACCGTGGGACTCAACAGTAACTCACCCTCACCACTCGCTCACCACTCACTCTCGCACTCACCACACAGCCTCACCACACACACTCACCACTCACTCTCAGCACTCACTCTCACCACTCACTCTCACCACTCACTCTCACACTCACCACACAGCCTCACCCTCACCACACACACTCACCACTCACTCTCGCACTCACCACACAGCCTCACCACTCACCCTCACCACACACACTCACCACTCACTCTTACCACTCTCGCACTCACCACGCAGCCTCACCACTCACCCTCACCACACACACTCACCACTCACCCTCAACACTCACACTCACCACACACCCTCACTACACACACCACACACCCTCACCACACACCCTCACCACTCACCACACACCCTCACCACACACCACACACCCTCACCACACACCGCACACCACACACCCTCACCGCACACCACTCACCAGTCACCACACTCCGTGCCCCACTCACCACACTCCTCTTGCCCCATGCCACTCACCACACACCACATAAACTTGCACCGTACGTGCGTTGAACTTCTTTCGCGCCGTACGTAGCCAACCGTGCTAATCGGAGGTGCGGAGGAAGGACAACAAACTGAACACAACGACAAGCAGTTCCAAAGGAAAGAGTCGTAAATGTAGGGGGCGCTACAAACCCGGCGACCCGAGTTCCATTCCCACTCACGGCGACCAACACCGGTGACAATTATCTGACCCAGTTTTGGGCCGCCTCTAGCTCCACTCGGTCTTAAATGAGTACCTGGTGCGGTGTGTAAACATCACCACTGGGGAGACAAAGGCGGCCGGGCGTGGTGCTGGCCGCCCACCCCCTCGTGTGCCGTGCCGGCCTTAATAGGTGCTCGCTAACAGCACTTGCCCCAACAGTCTGTTAAGGCTACACGGGGTACCTTTGTCTTTGGTGTGCGCAGTCGGGACGATCGACGTGGGGTCCGTGCGTCTCATGTTCTGGGACCTGGGCGGCCAAGAGGAGCTTCAGTCACTGTGGGACAAGGTGAGGTCAGCACGGTGCTCGCCACACGCACTCACCACGCACACAAATGTCCTCACTCATGGACGCTGTATATGCGAATCTGCGTCCGTTTGTCCATACGTGTGTGCGTGTGCGTGCGTGCGTGCAGTATTTTGCCGAGTGCCACGGCGTCATCTACCTGATCGACTCCGTGGACGAGGGGCGCCTCGTGGAGTCGAGGGACGCGTTCGGTACGAGCGCCCACGGCGCGCCGCTGCCTCTCGAGAGACGGACACTTGGAGTCTGTCCCCGACCGCGCTCGCCGGCGCCGGCGGCGGTCCACGCACCGCGACTTGGGGATGCCGGCCCTGCTGTGCCGCCGGAGCCGTAGGCTGCCTGCCGCACGCGTTCCATTCTTCGCTTTGATATTTGATGGCCTAAAATCAACGGAGAAGTCGCGAGCGCCCATTAACGACGACGTTAATGGGCGCTCGCGAAACAGCAACCTGCCCCAACAGTCTGTTGAAGGCCACTCGGGGGATATCTTTGTGCTTGTGTGTGTGACTGTGCTTCTGTGTGTGCGTGTGTGTCTGTACTTCTGTGTGTGCGTGTGTGTGTCCGAGGGGCGCCACGGTGGCGAGATGTTAACTACCTCGCCTGGTATGCAGGAGGTCGTGGGTTCCATCCTGACACTGACGCCTGCTGTATATTTGGAGTTTGCGTGTCTCTCCCATGGTGGCGTGGATTTTTCTCTGGGTCCTCCCATTTTTCCCTCCATATTTGGCTGCTATATATTTTCATATGATAGGCCACTTCATTTAGCTATCATTTGTGGTCAGGTGCCTTCTGAAAAAGAGCTGTATAGGTCAGTGGTTGGCTCACCGCGCTATGAACCCGGCTACCCGGGGTTCCACTCCCGCTCACGCCCAAAAACGGTGGCAGTGAATATTTGAACCTTTTATAGTTTCCTCCCCGAGGTCGACTTGACTTTAAATGAGTACGCAGTGCGGTGTGTGTTCAACACAATGAGTACGCAGTGCGGTGTGTGTTAAACACGATGAGTACGCAGTGCGGTGTGTGTTAAACACGATGAGTATGCAGTGCGGTGTGTGTTAAACACGATGAGTACGCAGTGCGGTGTGTGTTAAACACAATGAGTACGCAGTACAGTGTGTGTTAAACACGATGACTACACAGTGCGGTGTGTGTTAAACACGATGACTACGCAGTGCGGTGTGTGTTAAACACGATGACTACGTAGTGCGGTGTGTGTTAAACACGATGAGCACGCAGTGCGGTGTGTGTTAAACACAATAACTACGCAGTACAGTGTGTGTTAAACACGATAACTACACAGTGCGGTGTGTGTTAAACACAATGATTACGCAGTGCGGTGTGTGTTAAACACAATGACTACACAGTGTGGTGTGTGTTAAACACAATGACTACACAGTGCGGTGTGTGTTAAACACAATGACTACACAGTGCGGTGTGTGTTAAACACAATGACTACACAGTGCGGTGTGTGTTAAACACAATGACTACACAGGGCGGTGTGTGTTAAACACAATGACTACGCAGTGCGGTGTGTGTTAAACACGATGACTACGCAGTGCGGTGTGTGTTAAACACAATGACTACACAGTGCGGTGTGTGTTAAACACAATGACTACACAGTGCGGTGTGTGTTAAACACAATGACTACGCAGTGCGGTGTGTGTTAAACACAATGACTACACAGTGCGGTGTGTGTTAAACACAATGACTACGCAGTGCGGTGTGTGTTAAACACGATGAGTACGCAGTGTGGTGTGTGTTAAACACAATGACTACACAGTGCAGTGTGTGTTAAACACGATGACTACGCAGTGCGGTGTGTGTTAAACACAATGACTACACAGTGCGGTGTGTGTTAAACACGATGAGTACGCAGTGTGGTGTGTGTTAAACACAATGACTACACAGTGCAGTGTGTTAAACACGATGACTACGCAGTGTGGTGTGTGTTAAACACAATGACTACACAGTGCAGTGTGTGTTAAACACGATGACTACGCAGTGCGGTGTGTGTTAAACACGATGAGTACGCAGTGCGGTGTGTGTTAAACATGATGACTACGCAGTGTGGTGTGTGTTAAACACGATGACTACACAGTGCGGTGTGTGTTAAACACGATGACTACGCAGTGCGGTGTGTGTTAAACACAATCACTACACAGTGCGGTGTGTGTTAAACACGATGAGCACGCAGTGCGGTGTGTGTTAAACTCAATGACTACGCAGTGTGGTGTGTGTTAAACACGATGACTACACAGTGCGGTGTGTGTTAAACACGATGACTACGCAGTGCGGTGTGTGTTAAACACAATCACTACACAGTGCGGTGTGTGTTAAACACGATGAGCACTGGGGAGACGGAGGTGGCCGGGCGTGGCTTTGGCCACCCGGCCAATCGTGCGCCGTGCCGGCCTGCGTGGGAGCTGCCGCTCGCGTTGTGGTAAAGGCTCTGCGTGGTAACGGTGTGTGGCGTGCAGACAAGATGGTTAGCAGCGAGGCGCTGGATGGAGTGCCCCTGTTAGTGCTGGCCAACAAGCAGGACATGGAGGTAGGTGGCCTCCCCCGCCTGTGGCAATGCTCCAGCCTCGCAGCCAGAAGCACCTGGGTTCAATTCCCGACCACGGGTGACTTTTTGCGTGGAGTTTTGTGTGTTCCCCTGTTGTGCACAGTGAGTGTGAGTGTATCGAGAGAGTGTGTGTGAGCTAGATTGTGTGGAGTTTGTTCTCCCCCTGTTCTGCAGAGTTGAGTGTATGTGCGATTGAGTGTGAATGTGGATCGGCGAGAGTATGGGTGAGTGACTATGTTTGCCAGAGTTTGTGTGGCCATTTTAGGGGCTTCTCGCTAACAGCACTTGCCCCAAAAGTCTGCTAAGGCTATACAGGGGATCTTTGTCTTTGCGAGGAAGTGTGTGGAGTTTGTAAATTCTCTCCCCCTGTTCTCTGCATGGGTTTCCTCCGGGTTGTTGTGGTTGTTGTGATTGCTGTGGTTGTTGTCGTGATTGTTGTGGTTGTTGTTGCTGCGGCTGCTGCGGCTGCTGCGGCTGCAGGGCTGCCTCACGGTGCCCGACATCAAAACGGCGTTCAGCGACTGCGCCACCAAGATCGGCAAGAGGGACTGCCTGGTGCAGCCCAGCTCGGCGCTCACCGGGTGAGCACGACGCCCGCCTCCTCACCACCCCTCCCGCCCACCCCTGTAAACACCAGCACTGGGGAGACAAAGGCGGCCGGGCGTGGTGTTAGCCACACAACCGCGCCCCATCACGGCCTTCACAAATGCTGCTCTTGCACCGACATCCTGTGTGAGCTACACTGGGAACCTTTGTTTCTTTGTGTGTGTGCGTGCATGTGCGTGCGTGCAGGGAGGGAGCGGTGCCATGGCAATTAGCATGCCACGCCACAAACCCCGGCCACCCGAGTTCGATATCCGCTCACGGCCAACACCAGTGACGGTTATCTGAACCCGTCATGGGCCTAGGTCGACTCAGCCTCAAATGAGTACCTGGTGCGATGTGTAAACATGAGTGAGTGTGTGCGTGATTGAGCGTTGGCCGCGAGCCAACACTCAATCACACACACCAGGCAGTCCCTCTTGCCGATCTTGGTGGCGCAGTCGCTGGACGCCATCTTGATGTGTAAACATCGCACCAGGGGGAGACAAAGGTGGCCGGGCGTGGTGCTTGCCAACTCACCCCGTCGCGTGCCGGCCTTGACAGGCGCTGTCACTTGCTGACAGCACTTGCCCCATACAGTCCGTTAAGGCTACACGGTGGGGGGGGTGGCGGTCTTTGCCTTCACAGGGACGGCGTGAACGAGGGGATCGAGTGGATGGTGAAGTGCGTGGTGAGGAATCTCCACCGGCCCCCGCGGCACAAAGACATCACCTGACCCCGTCTCCACCGCCTTGCGCTCCTCCCGCTGGGCGTGGGATCTTCTTCGTCTGTCTTCGTTCAACTCAACCTGTGGGTTGGGGGGTGGCCGGGTGACGTGCGGGGGAAGGGGGCGAGGGAGGAGGGGAGGGAGGAGGCGAGGGTTTGGGAATGGTCGCGTTCGAGACGCAGAGCCGGGAACTGCGGAGCTTCTTGAAGTCGCGTTCCAGCCGCCCAGCCACGTGACCCATCCGGGACTGGAACTGGGTTCTTGAGTCTAGCTAGTCGACGGTAACTCAGCCCGGTCGCCGGTGACTTGCATCTCTAACTTTGTTTTATTTTCACCACTTAATTTAGGCGATTCCAGGCTCCCCTCCCCCACGAATGAAGCGTTTTACTTCGACAATTTGACGCGCACCCAGGAATTCCACCATTTCCACCATCGACGGCAACTCGGATAAGTCGCTCACTCGGCACGAGATCGGTTATCGCAAACTCCACCGTCCTGCGGTAAAGTTCAACACGCCAACACCGGTACCACGAGATCTCGGTTCTCATCAATCGCCACGGTGGCGAGATGTTCACTACCTCGCCTGGCATACTGGAGGTCGTGGGTTTGATCCCAACCCTGACGCCTGCTGTATTTTTGGAGTTTTCATGTTCTCCCCGTGGTCGTGGAGATTTTTCTCCGGGTCCTCCGGTTTTTCCCTCCACATTTAGAATCAACATCACGCGTTTAGAGTATTTGGCTGCTATGCATTTTCACACGATGATAAGCCAATTTGTTAGGCTATCATTTGTGGCCAGGTCGCTTCTGAAAAAGAGCTACTAGCTTAGTGGGCCTTAGCTGGCAAAATAAAAACTCCCGGCACCAACAGAACACAGCAGATGCCAATTCCCGGGCTGCGTTCTGGTGGGGGCGGGCGTTGATGATCACCAAGATCTGGTGGTGCCGGTGTTGTGTAGAACTCTACCCCTAGAGGACACCGTACAGTTTGTGACGTTCTGGATTTGGCCTGCAGTGGAAAAGGTGGTGACCCTACCACTCACCTACCCACCCACTCATTCACTTATCGATTCACCCACCCACTCATTCACTTACCGAATCACCCACCCACTCATTCACTTACCGATTCACCCACTAATTCACTTACCGATTCACCCACCCACTCATTCACTTACCGATTCACCCACACACTCATTCACTTACCGATTCACCAACCCACTCAATCACCGATTCACCCACCCACTCATTCACTTATTCATTCACCCACCCACTCAATTACAGTACGCTGAGCTGTATCACAGGATACTGCACAGGTCTGATAATAGACCTAGTCGTGCTGACTTGAGAAATATGGCCTGGGTTTGGTCTGCAGTGGGAAAAAATGACAGCCGCAGTCTGAGTCCATTGATGAAGAAGGCTGCTGCTGCTGCGAGTGAGGATCTCTGTCGACTCACCGTGGTCACAAGCTTGTGACCAAGGGGATATGGTTAAAAAAACATGCATTTATGGTTATTGGGATTTATACTAATATCTAAATGGAGTAATCTTTTACCTGTAACTGTTATAGTTATTATCGGACGATTGTTGCATAACGAAGGGAAGAGGCACGCTTGTTAATAAACCCTGTTTGGTGTTAAGTCGCCTGCGTTGGTTGCTCATCAGCAGCGGTCGCCATGGTCAATCCACTGCTGGATGTAGACACCCACCCCCATCAACGTCATCGCAAGCCCTCCCGGTCCGTTAACTCCACAACGATTTGCCTCTCACCTGCACGAGCGCTGACAACACCAAGCGGCCAGCAGCAAACGGCACGGCTGAAGGTGTAATACAACGGGAGTTGACGCACATCCTGGGTTGAGCGATGGGAGGAGGGGATTCCAGAGCAGAGCAGAGCGAGGGAACATGTGGAGAGAGACGTGATCTGCAGTGTGGTGAGTGGGTGAGTAGGTGGGTGATTGGGTGAGTGAGTGAGTGTGTTGTGACCTGCAGTGTGGCGAGTGGGTGAGTAGGTCAATAGGTGGGTGAGTGAGTGCATGAGTGGGTGGGTGATTGGGTGACTGGGTGAGTAGGGCAATTGATGGATGAGTGGTTGAGTGTGTTGTTGTGACCTGCAGTTGGTTGAGTAGGTGGGTGAGTGGATGAGTGAGTGGGTGAGTGTGTTGTGAGCTGCGGTGTGGACGAGATGAGTGATGTTCATGGGAGCAAGTGACCTTTGTAGTAGCCACAGAAGTGTGACAGGGAGGTGACTGGTGAGCGAGTGACGAGTGAATCGGTGAGTGCTGGGGTATCGATCACCCTGACTGCAATTCGAGTGAGTTATACAATTAGATAATGTTTGGGTTTCTTCCATTTAAGGCCTCAGTGTTTCTGATGAATGTTGTGAGTTTTTGTGCTCGTGCACGACTGCCAACGCAGCAGCAGCATCACCAAATAATGCAATCGTGATTGGTTTCAGCAAGCACGGCTGCTGATGAGACCCAGAATGTCGAAACTGGGCCAGGTTTTTGCACGTCCCGCACCGCACTGCCAGAAAGCCGTGTGGCTGGTGGGATGTGTAAAACAAATGAATGTCGTTTCTTATGCGGTGGGGCAGATAAGGGGGAAGGATGCGACTTGTCTGATTTAGTTAATTTTGCAATCTTTAACTAAGTAACGTCACGATAATCAGATTGTAAACGTTGTAGTGAGTTTATACTCTCCAACACCAGTGTGCTGTACTAGCAACGAATTGGCACGTTCTGTACGTGACACATTACTAATTGGCTGTGTCGGGTGGTGGCGGGTTTCAGCGACACATTTTTATATTTACGAGATCTAACCCAAAAAAAAACCTCAATTGTGAATAATAATGAGACATATTCTTGGGTCTTTCGGTAAAGTCACGTAGATAGATTCAAAGAAAATAACAAACCTATCTACGTGACTTTACCGAAAGACCCAAGAATATGAATTCCTGCAGTCACGAAAGCTCTAAATCAATAACGAGACATTGGGGGAAACATCTCGCTCCGCCCCCCCCCCCCAACTATGGCCACGCCCCTTCCGTCGCGATCCCGCCCCTTTTACGCTGGCCCCGCCCATTCCCCCGCTGCCCTCCGCCCATTCCCCCGCTGCCCTCCACCCCTTGACTTAGTCCCGTGACGTCACCCTGCCCAGGACCAACATGGCGTTCCCTCACATCGGCGCGAAGAGAAAAGTGTGCTATTACTACGACGGTAAAACGACGGCGACGCGCCCGTCCGCGCACTCCGTAAACTCACTCGCACGCTCGCCCACCCGCGAATTTCTGGGGCGCCGGGTGGGTGATGTGGGCGGCGGGGGGAAACGAAAATATACGAGACCGAGGCGCGACCCGTCCTGGCGCTGGTGTCTCCCCCGCGCTCCTCGCACCTAGCCCGGCGGGGAATCTAGCCGAGGCCGGTGGTGCCGTCGAGTGGTGGGCTAGGCCGCGAGCACGCTTGCTCGCGGCCTCGTCCCCGGAGCGGTGCTTCGAGGTCCGCTGCGGCTGTGCGCGCGTTCCGACTCGCGGGGCGGCTGGTGGTTGAGTTTGTGTGCGAGGTGGATGCGAGGTTCGAGAGAGGTTGAGAGAGCCATTGAAGCTCTTTGTTTAGTCCGCGACGATGAATCCCCTCGATAAAAACTCAAACTTCCAGCGTCTCGTCACTCTTCTATGTGTGTGTTTTTTATGGAAGTGAAGATTTTAAACAACTATTTGTACAGTCATGAAGGAAGTAAAAATTCTAAGGATGGACGAGTCCCCGTCAAGAGAATGTGGAATTTCCATTTCTTTGTTCGGCAGCCATCGGCAATGTGCGTATATTTATCCGCTCGTGAATAGTTTGATTATCTTCGGCATCGATGAGTCTTTTAAATACGAACGAAATATTCGGGTAACGTACAGATGTTTACAAAAATATATATATAATTCTACGTTAAGCGATCGTTTTGTCTTTGTCTGAATCAACTGTTCCCCCTGGCGGCGGATTAGAAGTTATAATAAACACGGCGCTAATTGGCTGGACGTTCGTGCTTCCTGGTTTCAAAATGGGGGGCCCTACAGTCAATTCTTCTCGCCAGCAGCCGTGCTCGGCTCATGAAAAGACCTCGAGTGGTTTCCTCCTGCCCGGTGATTGTCTCCAGCTCGAATGAGCTTTCAAACATCGGTGTTCCAAAACTCCCGTGTTACAGCACTGCAGGGCTAGTGGTGGGAAAAATAAATCCGCATTTCTAGGGCAGAGGCGAGTCCATCCGTAGAACAACCACCCTTCATTGCCCCACAAGGTGCTTGATATTTTATCGACCCCTGAGGAAGGGATGATGGGCAGAACCAAAGAGTATGGATCCTTGCAGTCACGAAAGCTTTAAATCTAGAATTGATAACCTCAACGGGGAGGGCTTTCACCTATCTATTAGAGCTTTTTACAGACAACGGGACAAGAAGTCACAGCTCATCGAGACGCTGACCTTCCTCAAAAAGCTTAAAGTTCGCGGTCTGAGCGTGGCTGTGTTTCACTCCAGCGCTGTCCTCGAGACAGCCTGATCCCTTCACCTGATGAAGGACGCTTGTGTTGTGGCCGAAACGTCGTGATTTTTGTTTTATTTTTTTACCTACGTGACTTTACCGAATAGAACCAAAGAGTATGATGGGCTGAGTCGACTCCTAACCAGGATTTGACCTCGCGACCTCTAATATCTTGTTTATCCAGGAAAGCCAGACTGAGGCGTAGGACTCGTCAGGAGGATCCTTCATTGGGTTTTTATTTTAAGCTGCCAATGAGTTATACAAGTAGGAGGAAACCGTAGCACCTGGAGAAAGCCCCACGCATTGCGTGAGGGAGTAACTCTCTATCCCCCCACAGATGGTAACAAATGGCCATTCGTCCACTTGCTGTCCTAGTTTTTCCTTGGGGAGCCAGGGACACACTATCCGCTGCCTGGATAGTGTAATGTGTCGTCATCACAGTTGATTCACGCACGGTATATTGTCAACACATTCGTCAATAACAATTTCGCCTTGAAAGATAAAAATATATATCTGGGTAACGTTTAGGGCAATGGCTAATCTTCATAGCACATAACAGGAGTGGGGAGGGGTGCAAAGTCAATCCATAGGCAGATGGGCTATTGCCCAAAACGTTGCCTATTCTATTTTTTTATTGAACTATAAATTGGATTACATTATACGTTTCTTTCATAAGAAGTTGGTGTGCTGCTCCCTTTCTGTTTCGCTGTTAAAAATGTAAAACTGTGGTGCTCTTTTTCGAGATATCACTATCCGTGCGACAAACCGGTAACCTGTCTTTTACCGTTTTAAAGACCCTAATGGGTGTGCCCTCTTTTGCGTTGCAATCGTCGTGCCCTCGCTGCGTGCAGGTGACATCGGAAACTACTACTATGGACAGGGTCACCCCATGAAGCCACACCGCATCCGCATGACCCACAACCTGCTGCTAAATTATGGCCTCTACCGCAAGATGGAAATATACGTGAGTGGGTGCAGGGCTTGTGGGACACCGGGAACAATTAACAATCTTTCGGAGATACCGCACCGACCACTGCGTGTCACGGCCACACTGTCGCATTGTTCCAGCAGTGTCGCTGCTTTCGTTCTGTTTGTAAATGTTTGCGAGTAAATGTGGCGGCGATCTTCATTTGTAACTGGCCTGATCTACCC